TGTGTTTAAAATTATTGGGTAATAGAATTTTCCTGAATACACACTAGGGACCTTATGGAAGCAAATAATGAGCGAGCAGTGAAAACACATATGTCTGTGTTCGGAACCCAATTGCCAGACATGATTTATTTCTATAACAACAATTTTAGATGTTCTTGGTTTCAAAAGTGTATTGAGTGCAGAGCTGCAAGTAGACAGCTTAGGAGGATGGAAAGGGCAAGCTGTGCAATACGACTATACATAGTAGGTCATCTGATACAGACCACGTGTAAGTCATTCTTGCATTTATGTAACAGATTACAAAAATAAGCAATATTTCTTCTTGCAGACCCCTGTCCCAAACCTGTTCAGAAAACACATTTAATAGGGCCGAACACAACAGATAGGGCTTAACACATAGAAGTTGGTTTACTAAAGCAGTAAAGCTGAAAGCAAAGTTTCAATCATCCAGCATTTATAAAGGCCTTTTATTTTTATTTAAAAACCCCCTGGACACAATTGGGTATTTAAAGTAAACACAATTTTTTATGGGCTGTGAGAAATCTTCTCCATTCAAGAGAATCAAGAGAAGGGGATTGTGGCTCTCTGTATCTCTGGGCATTTTGACACATTGCCAGGTAAAACAAAGCAACTCTAAGGACACTGTAAGAAAAAAGCGTCCATTACTTGTGAATCTTGGCCTCTGTCTGGCCCCTGATGTTTTTCAGACGGCTCTGGATAGTGAAAATGAAGCCAAAAGGATCACCATGACCGATTGCATACCATGAGCCACTCCAGTGATGCAACATCCACGAGTTCCCTCGCTGGTGCTGACATCTTCTCCCTGACTATTTCTGGGTGTCAGATATTTGACTATCTTGATTGGTTGAAGGAGGAATGACGTAACACTCATGCATGCCCATGAGAGTTCATTCCTCATGGCACCAAGGTGTGCTGAGAATACACACTGAGCTGTGTATGCATTGCAAACAGGAAATGTGAGTATTATCACATCCCACTACTAATAAGAGATTTAATCTAGGAAGACCCTGGTGACGTCTGCTTCCTCTCTATTTTGGGGGCTATATCTCCACAGTGATATGTATTATGCCTATGTTGATGGGGTTCTGGTAAGCTATTAAACTTACTGCACATGGTGGAATATTGGCTCGTGTTGATTCATCACTGGTTTTGGGAACGCGGTTGACAGACATGTGTTAATGGAATAACTTATGGACTTTTCACATTAATGGACACTTTATAGAAAATTTTGTTTTTAATTCTATTGTATAGAAGCAATAGTCATATGCTTTGCAGTTCTCTGCTATATATCAATGTGATTTTTATTAATATTTGTTTTATTAAGAGTGCGAGTAGCAGCTTTTATTATTTATATTATCTTTCACTTAGAGTATTATTACACTGTAAAGAGCTGCTTTTCCCTACACATGCAGTTTGGAAGTTCTTTTAGGTGGTGTCCCTTTATGTTGTTTATTGTTTATCAGGTATATATGTATACTTATGTTGGTCCAAGCTGAACAAATGTCAGTAATATCAATAATAATAATAATTTATAATAACACAGTAATATTCATATCTGGAATTGAGCATTAACATTTCTAGCTGCTCCTAGCTGTTCCTTTCACCCTGACCAACATCTGCAATGTCAAATTGCTTGTGACACACAGGTGAGATTTGTTGGTTTCTTATAAATAATTTACCTAGCCATTCACACAGCAAAAGGGCACATTTATTCTGTGGGAATAGGACACAAATTAATGTATAGGATATAAGTTATTGAGGCTCCATGCATACTAGGAGCTTAAACAACTGAAAAATGATGGATAAAAAATGCTCAATATAGTGTTTTTTTGCCTGTGTTTTTCAGTTTTTGTGCCGGAGTTGTGCGGGCATTCAGCAGTGAAAGCAGGTTGTTAAGGAGCGGGTGGCTGGCGCGTCCTTAACAACCAATGACTCATCAGCTGTCAGTGGGATTCCCCTTTGACAGCTGAATGTGAACAAAAGAATGCCAGCATTAAGAAAAAAAAAAAAAGGTGCGGGCCACCCCACTTCAATCCATACTAGGCACTTTGGGTTTAGTACAGATTTTAAAGGGAACCCCACATCAAAATTGTTTTTAAAAATGGCGTGGGGTTCTGAAAAAATCCATACCAAACCCTTAGGTGACCTTGCCTCTTTGTGACATCATCGACAGGGCATACTGGGTCTATGACTCAGGAGGCCCCTCCTCCTTACTTTATTTAATGGCAGCTATCAGGTGGAGCTGTCAGTAGGCGGGCGTGGACCTCTTTTTTTTTTAATGTGAGTCGGTGGAGCTGCGTTTATTGTGATCGACCATGGATCTACATCGGGGGACAATTTATTTTGATTTTTTTCCTAAAGGACTTATCAAAAACTGGTTCCTGTCTTTACACTTAACACTTACTATTTTTTTTTTGTGAATGAAAATGGGGTACTAATCGCTGCTGCTAGGAGCATTTTTTTTAAGCTAGTGTGCATGGAGCCTAGGTTTTATCAATATTCTACTCTCTCTTTCTTATGCTGAAAAGGCTGCCTGTACCCTTAATTGGTAGATATTTATATAAACCATCATGTGCTTTAGATTTATTGGCTTTTTAATCATTGTACTGTGCAGCGGCAGCCAGCACAGAGTAAGGAGGAAAGCGAGCATCCTGAAATGCATGACTCCTAATTCAGGCATTAATCAACAGGCAGTTGACAGACTGATGCCATTGTATTTCTCTTCTATCAGATGATGATGCTATTGCTTGGATTAACTAATCACCTAGAATGGTCTGAAAGCTTTGTGAGGCAGATTAATCAGTATCACTGCAGACAGGATAGCATTGTTCGATTTTCTTTTAACAAGGACCCAGGCATCTCACTGTTTGCACACTTTTCACATTATTCTAACAGATAATGATAGACATAGTACACGGGGCAGAGTAGGAAATCTGTACTTGTCCAGCTGCTGTTAAAAAGATAACGGAATAATGTTTCTAAGTAGTTATTTTTTTTGTGTAATGATTAAATTATTTTTCACATTTTTTTTTTTTTTATACTTTCATAAACTGATGAAGTCACGTTTTATGCTATCCGGCTTTTCAATATCTGAATTTCCAGCCACTAGAAAGCACATCTATCTTTATGTCAGAAAGAACAGTCAGCATCCTTGCTGCATGAGTATACATGCTGTCCAGACAATGGGCCCGATTTACCTAAAGGGAAATGAACAAGAACAAGGATAAATCACTGCGGTATGCTTAAATTACGGATCACATGCGGATGTACACACAAAGTGCAAACGCAATCCCTCAGCCTAACAAATGGTACAATGATTTGCAATGCATTTTGTTTTGGTAAGGAAAGAATAGGGCCCGGAGCTAGATGGGTAGCATAGGCGTAAGGTCAGACATGACTGGGTTTGAAGGAAAGGCTGGATTAACAGGACTGAGTTAAAAACTAGAAAAGCTACAATTTCTGGGGAAATTGTGTGAAGTGTTCTTGCCTCCACCAGTAGTCTACATTCATTCCTATGGGACCAATTTCACCACAAAAACGGCGATATTTTGTGACGTTGGTGAACGTTCCACAAATTAATAGCACACCAATCGGAAACAATCCGCACGTTTTGGTATATTACTGTCTATGTAGTGTAAAAACTGTGGGAGGAGTTAGGGTGGTAAATTTGGCTATAATAATAAGAATATATACGTGAGATAACAGTAAGTGGTCTTGCCATGCAAGAACACTTACTTAGTCAGCTTTGTTTAAATGTTTTAGTATCCCGATTGACTGGAGGAACATTCGGCTGGATGGTGCGAGGCAGGGTGGGCCCTGGAAGGGAAAAAGGGGTGGAGCATTTCCTCAGGGTCACTCTTAACCCTTTGAGGACCAACGGACGTATTTGTCCCATGTTTTTAATTGCCTGTATCATCTGATTAAGAACTTAAAATACCTTTTTTTTTTTGGTTTGAGTCAAAATATTAGTTCTTATCAACAAATGGATCTAGCTGTTTGCCAATTATTTCATGAAATGGCTTAGTTACAGCAACTGAAGTGTACCAACTTTAAAAACAAAAAATTGATTCTTTTGGCGTTCCGTAATCTTATGGTCCTCAAAGGGTTAAGGCAGTGACTGGTAAATTTGTTAGCGAATGAGCGGGTTGGGCCCATGTCAGGTATGAGTGTACCTTCCCTAGTTAAGTGAAGGAGTAATGTATTAAGAATCATTCAGCTGTATTGAGGTTATCTGGATAGTAAATTGTCCTCGAGTTGGTGTGTTTGCAGCTGGGGGCCTTCAAGTCTATGTGGTGGTAGATATAGCCAGTTGGTTGAATACAAGTTGCCTTAAAAGACCTTTAGACTTTAAGGAGGGTAGTTACTGTAATTACACTGTGGTCAGTGAGGTTCACATATTTAAAAAAGAAAGATGTAAGTTTTAATAAATATAACAATTTTAAGTTTTAATAAAGTTGCATTTTATTGTTCTTTCAATAAAATGGCTGCTATGGCCTTTGAATTCCAAATAATAAGATTGTGTTGTCTGTTATTGGGGACATACATAAGTTAATGGGGTGGTTATAAAGGTTATGGCAGCCAACATGTAATACTTCAGTCATACTTCACGTGTCAACATATTATTTGACAATACAATACCATAAGAGCTGGCTCACACCAAAACGAGGTGCAGGAAGGGCCGTTCTATATATAGGTGACTGCGCTGCCCTTGCATGAGCATGTGGGTTCCAGTGAAATGTTAATAGCGCCCCAGTTGCATCTTGCAAACACAGTGCATTTGCAGGCACCAAATCTCATATGACTACAGTGCCATGCGGTTCGGTGCAGTGCTTTCTGACAAAGTAGTTAGAGATGAGCGAAGTATTCAAAAATTCGATTCGGCTGATTCGGCGAATTCGAAGAATAAATTCGATTCGATGCGAATATATTCGCTGCGAATTTAACTTATAAAAAGGGTGTTTCTAGGCTTCAGAGAGCCTTTATATTAGTGCAGAACACTGTACCCTTAATTTAAATGCCCTTGGAGTCTGCTGGGGAAGAGAAATAATACTGTCAGTCAGTATGACATGCAGATGAGTGCCGTCGATCTTAGAATCACCGCACACTTCACTCATTTGGGCAGTCACGGGGCCAAAACCAGAGTGTGGAGCCACAGTGTGGCGGTGGAGGCAGCAGCAATGGGAGGCCATACAGCACCCTATGACAAAATGGAACCCACCAGCAGTGTGAGGAGACCTGAAAGTGGCACATGGCAGAGTGTGGCGATGGAGACAGCAGCAATGGGAGGCCGTACAGGGACCCATGAGACACTCTGGACCTGGCAGCAGCATGAGGAGGCGGTACGGGGGCCCATGGCAGATTACGGGCCTGGCAGCAGCAATGGGAGGCCCGTAATCTGCCAGCACCCTATGACAAAATGGAACCCACCAGCAGTGTGAGGAGACCTGAAAGTGGCACATGGCAGAGTGTGGCGATGGAGACAGCAGCAATGGGAGGCCGTACAGGGACCCATGAGACACTCTGGACCTGGCAGCAGCATGAGGACGCGGTACGGGGGCCCATGGCAGATTACGGGCCTGGCAGCAGCAATGGGAGGCCCGTAATCTGCCAGCACCCTATGACAAAATGGAACCCACCAGCAGTGTGAGGAGACCTGAAAGTGGCACATGGCACAGTGTTGCGATGGAGACAGCAGCAATGGGAGGCCGTACAGGGACCCATGAGACAATCTGGACCTGGCAGCAGCATGAGGAGGCGGTACAGGGGCCCATGGCAGATTACGGGCCTGGCAGCAGCAATGGGAGGCCCGTAATCTGCCAGCACCCTATGACAAAATGGAACCCACCAGCAGTGTGAGGAGACCTGAAAGTGGCACATGGCAGAGTGTGGCGATGGAGACAGCAGCAATGGGAGGCCGTACAGGGACCCATGACAGATTACGGGCCTGGCAGCAGCATGAGGAGGCGGTACAGGGGCCATGGCAGATTACGGGCCTGGCAGCAGCAATGGGAGGCCCGTAATCTGCCAGCACCCTATGACAAAATGGAACCCACCAGCAGTGTGAGGAGACCTGAAAGTGGCACATGGCAGAGTGTGGCGATGGAGACATGGGCCCCCTGGCCACGCTTGACTTTCTGGCCACATAGTCGACATACGGCTACGTTTACTTCCTCGTCGGGCGGCTTGACGAAAAATTGCCACACCGCCGAGTAGGAAACTTTGCCCCCGCTACTCCTCACTGGCTGACTGCTACTTCCTCCGTGTACAATTCTGTGTACCTCAGTAACAATTCTGTGTCCCTCAGTAACAACTCTGTGTCTGTCCCTGAGTAACAATTCTGTGTCCCTCAGTAACAATTCTGTGTCCCTCAGTAACAATTCTGTGTCTGTCCCTGAGTAACAATTCTGTGTCCCTGAGTAACAGTTCTGTGTCCCTGAGTAACAATTCTGTGTCCCTGAGTAACAGTTCTGTGTCCCTGAGTAACAATTCTGTGTCCCTCAGTAACAATTCTGTGTCCCTCAGTAACAATTCTGTGTCTGTCCCTGAGTAACAATTCTGTGTCCCTCAGTAACAATTCTGTGTCCCTGAGTAACAATTCTGTGTCCCTCAGTAACAATTCTGTGTCCCTCAGTAACAATTCTGTGTCTGTCCCTGAGTAACAATTCTGTGTCCCTGAGTAACAGTTCTGTGTCCCTGAGTAACAATTCTGTGTCCCTCAGTAACAATTCTGTGTCTGTCCCTGAGTAACAATTCTGTGTCCCTCAGTAACAATTCTGTGTCCCTCAGTAACAATTCTGTGTCTGTCCCTGAGTAACAATTCTGTGTCCCTGAGTAACAGTTCTGTGTCCCTGAGTAACAATTCTGTGTCCCTGAGTAACAATTCTGTGTCCCTCAGTAACAATTGTGTCCCTCAGTAACAATTCTGTGTCCCTCAGTAACAATTCTGTGTCCCTCAGTAACAATTCTGTGTCTGTCCCTGAGTAACAATTCTGTGTCCCTGAGTAACAGTTCTGTGTCCCTGAGTAACAGTTCTGTGTCCCTGAGTAACAATTCTGTGTCCCTGAGTAACAATTCTGTGTCCCTCAGTAACAATTGTGTCCCTCAGTAACAATTCTGTGTCCCTCAGTAACAATTCTGTGTCCCTCAGTAACAATTTTGTGTCTGTCCCTGAGTAACAATTCTGTGTCCCTGAGTAACAGTTCTGTGTCCCTGAGTAACAATTCTGTGTCCCTGAGTAACAGTTCTGTGTCCCTGAGTAACAATTCTGTGTCCCTGAGTAACAATCCTGTGTCCCTCAGTAACAATTCTGTGTCCCTCAGTAACAATTCTGTGTCTGTCCCTGAGTAACAATTCTGTGTCCCTCAGTAACAATTCTGTGTCCCTCAGTAACAATTCTGTGTCTGTCCCTCAGTAACAATTCTGTGTCCCTGAGTAACAGTTCTGTGTCCCTGAGTAACAGTTCTGTGTCCCTGAGTAACAGTTCTGTGTCCCTCAGTAACAATTCTGTGTCTGTCCCTGAGTAACAATTCTGTGTCCCTCAGTAACAAATTCTGTGTCCCTCAGTAACAATTCTGTGTCCCTCAGTAACAATTCTGTGTCCCTCAGTAACAATTCTGTGTCTGTCCCTGAGTAACAGTTCTGTGTCCCTCAGTAACAATTTTGTGTCTGTCCCTGAGTAACAATTCTGTGTCCCTGAGTAACAGTTCTGTGTCCCTGAGTAACAATTCTGTGTCCCTGAGTAACAGTTCTGTGTCCCTGAGTAACAATTCTGTGTCCCTGAGTAACAATCCTGTGTCCCTCAGTAACAATTCTGTGTCCCTCAGTAACAATTCTGTGTCTGTCCCTGAGTAACAATTCTGTGTCCCTCAGTAACAAGTCTGTGTCCCTCAGTAACAATTCTGTGTCTGTCCCTCAGTAACAATTCTGTGTCCCTGAGTAACAGTTCTGTGTCCCTGAGTAACAGTTCTGTGTCCCTGAGTAACAGTTCTGTGTCCCTCAGTAACAATTCTGTGTCTGTCCCTGAGTAACAATTCTGTGTCCCTCAGTAACAATTCTGTGTCCCTGAGTAACAATTCTGTGTCCCTCAGTAACAATTCTGTGTCTGTCCCTGAGTAACAGTTCTGTGTCCCTCAGTAACAATTCTGTGTCCCTCAGTAACAATTCTGTGTCCCTCAGTAACAATTCTGTGTCCCTCAGTAACAAGTCTGTCCCTGAGTAACAATTCTGTGTCCCTGAGTAACAGTTCTGTGTCCCTGAGTAAGAATTCTGTGTCCCTGAGTAACAATTCTGTGTCCCTAAGTAACGATTCTGTGTCCCTAAAGTATCTGTGGCCCTAACTCTGTCCCTAATACAGAGAGGTCTGTCTCTCTTGAATGACCGGAGGCAAATGGAGAATTGTAAGATGGCCGCAATTTATAGCTCCACCATTACACAGTGCTGGCTGGCTGGCTGCTGATTGGCTAATGCGATCACATGTCATGAATGAATGCATTATGGGTCAGCGCGCCTTCCCAGAGATCCCCACTCCGTCGCCACACATGTCGCCGCCATTTTTGGAAAAATTTTGATTCGCGCATCCGAAGTCTGCTAATTTTCGGATTCGGCGCGAATCGAATTTTTCCTAATATTCAAAACGAATTCCACTTCGCCAAGTTCGATTCGCTCATCTCTAAAAGTAGTATTTGCACTACTTTTTCCAAGTTCCAGTGCATTTTGAAGTAGGCATGTGGAAGCCGGAAATGTTTGCTTCGTTTCTATTTCGTTTGTTCATTGAAAGATTTAATTTCGTCACATTCGTTATGTTGAACCAAATAATTTTCAGAATTCATTTTGCATCTTCGCCATTTGTTTCATATAATCATTGGTCTGGGTGGATTCGAAAAATGTTGCAGTTTTTCTGGAAGATTGCTATATATTCGATATATTATCGAATCGGATGGATTTGAAAGGATTTAATATTTTTGCTAGTCCAAGCCATCAAGAGAAGTGGCATAAGCTGATTGGACAATGTCAACTGGCAGTATGTGCATCTGAACTAACAAATGGAACAACATTCTGATCCATTTGTTCAAATTATCGAACAAATTCAAAAATTTTATTCAACACAACAAACACTTTACTCCTGCGCTAGGAAAGGACTCAGTAGACCCAATAGGAATGTTCTGGAATATGCACTGCTTGCTGCCCTCAACAGACCGGGGTGGTCCGAATACACTGGATACAAATGGAGAAACCTGGCTCTGAGGAAGAGGTTGTGACCTCGAAACGCGTTAGCCAGTTGGTCATCCAGGGTTCCATCATATGGACTCAGATGTTGTTTGGATCATACGTCTTGTTCAGTTTGACATGCCTGTGTTGTTATGTCCATTGTGAGTATGATACCTATTTTTGTTTCTTTAATAAATTATTTTAAACAATAATGCACTAGGTCGGTGCACCCTTTTTCTGTTTCTCCATTTGTATCAAAAATTTTATTTATTTCACCATGGGTCTGAACTAGTATCATATCATGTCACGTCATTCGAATAAAGCAAACAAAACAAATGCATTCATTAATTTTTTTTCAGTAATTTCTGTGTCCATTTTGACATTCATTTACATCCAAATCTCTAAAAATGAAATTTAAATCCCCAAAAAAAAATCGTAACGAAATGCACATTTCTTTTTTGCACATTAACATGTGTGTTTTGTTATGAACCGATCCTTAGTCACTGGTCACATCGACTTGTGTGCGATTTCAGGTGCAATTTCTGAACACTTTATTGTGAAGATTTTCAATGACTTCTTGTGATTTGCTTTGTGATTTGCATTATATTCTATGTATGTGAAATTGCAATAAACTGCAGAAAACGTAATGCAAGAACTACTTTAGAAATCACGCTGCAGCAAATTGCACATGTTAGGACACTAATATTCACATTCATTAGATGTGTTTTAGGTACGATTTCAATTTCCAAATCACATCTGAAATCGCACCAGTATGACTGGCCACTTAATGTGAAAAGCACCACAAGTGGTCATTAAGACAAAAAAAATTGTATGCATCAAGGCAGCAGGTTGAAAAGCCCCCCACGCTGAGGGGCAGAGCGTGTTCAGGTATTATCATTGGAAACCTGTACACGGGCAGCAGTATTTGAAATTATGGTTCATATAGTATACTTGGTGCAAAATCGCTCAATTTGGGGTTGATTTACTAAAGGCAAATAGACTGTAAACTTTGTAAACTTTGCAAAGTGCAGCAGCACTCTGCAGGTGCAGGTGCTCCAGAGCTTAGTAAATGAGGTAAAGCCCCACTTTGCAAAGAATACGGGCAGCACAGTGGCTAAATGGTTAGCACTTAAGCCTGGCAGTACTCTGGTCGTTGGTTCAAATCCCAACCACGGCATCACCTGCCTGGAGTTTGCATGTTCTCCCTGTGCCTGCATGGGTTTCCTCCGGGTACTCCAGTTTCCTCCTACACTCCAAAGACATGCTGGTAGGTTAATTGGCTCCTGTCTAAATTGGCCCTAGTATGTGTATGTATGAATGGGAGTTGGGACCTTAGATTGTACACCCCTTGAGGGTTAGGGACTGATGTGAATGTAATATATATGTAAAAGCGCTGCGTAAATTGATGGCGCTATATAAATACCTGAAATAAATAAATACTCAACAATGTGTAAGGAAAAAAAAACTGCATTTTTGCTTGCATATGATTGGATGATGGAAGTCAGCAGAGCTTCCCTTCATGTACTATGCTCTGGAGCAACTGCTATTGCAGAGTGCAACTAAA